TTTTTTTAACAAATTAAAAAAATTTTAAAATAATTAATGCAATGTTTTTTTGAACATCATTTTTTGTTAGTTTTTTATAAGTCAACAAAGAAAATTTCGACTGTCAAAAGTGTCGAACTACTGCGTACATTACTATAAATTTGCACCTAAAATTTCTCCGCAGTAGAAGCTGATAAGCACTAATAAAAGCGCGTGGTGGCTCAGTTGGCTAGGTCGTGGGTCAGCACGCCGGAGACAGCGGTTCAATTCCCGGCCAGTGCGACTTTTTTGGGCAAGTACCTCTGTTAATTTTCACATGTGCTTTTTCACCTCGCAATGTCCCTCGAGGAGGGAATAGGCAACCTTTTCGCAGAAAAATTGCCTAATTTCTTTTTACCCCCTCCCAGTAATGGGAGGGCTCACCCATCCCTCTTCCCTTCTTTGTCCCAAGTGCTAAGTGTCCTGAGTAGTGACTTTTATAGGAGCTGGACATGAAGCATTATTATAAAATAAAAGTACCAATAAAATTCTTTTGTGGATTATCTTATGAAATGAAATAAAACAAAAATATCTTTGTATTTTCTTCAGAAAGGCGGATGCCAATATCAATGTAAAAACAATGAAATGTTATTTACACTGGATTCTATCAGATGGCCACCCGAGAATATTTTACACGCAGTCTGTATATTTGTACCTTTTTTTTATAATTAATCTTCTAAAATCGTGAAAATTAATTAAGGAAATTAGGAGAAAAGTAATTTATCATCTTCTGCGCATGCGCAGATAGAAATGATAGGTTTTTTTACTATTCTTTTTATCGATAATGTATAACTTTTAAGGCCAATAAAACTCTGAAATTTAAATATGTGATTTATGACAATGAACGATGAATATTTTTCAAAATCCATAGAACCTCAAAGGGTCCCTCGCTGGGTACGGCACCAAACGCCCAAGCCGCCTTAAATGCAGATCCTAGTATATAGATATAAATATTGATAATATACTATACAATATTAAATAGACAGATTCAGGCACATCGAAGCATGGGTCAATTCAGCTTATAAAATATTATTTCTACTAAGTACTGTGTATTTAATTTCATTTATTTAATATTAAAGAGATTGATTGCGAAAACTATACATATTGAACTGTTTACATTTCTTAGCATTATCTTAGTTTTTCTTATCACTCCGCTAAGGTTGTTTGCTAGTTCTGCATCTGAGTATGTACCTCATTGAATTAATTTTGTTAAAATAACGTAAAAACAACTGTAAAGATAAATTTAATTTTTTTTTTCACACTTTGGCTCATAACTCTTTTCTTATTAGTCTGATTAAAAAAAGTAAAGAAAAACATGTTCCTGATGAAATTTTCTACGAATTTAGATGCTTCCTAGTTCTTTCTTCTTTATGTTTTTGACAAAATGCTACTGGAATTTTGGGTCTTATACTTCATTTTGATGTCTTGTACAGGTAAATTAAATTTTATATTAACAATTGAATTGGGATGTCTTTTTTTCAAATAAACAAAACAGCTTTTGCAAAGTTAAAAAAATATATAATAGGTCATAAATTTTTAATTTTTAATCATTTTTATCAATAAATAAAAAAATTATAAATAAAGATTAA